CCCGCTCCCCCCCGATATTTTGAACAAAAATGTGGCCTGTTTTAAGTTTTGTGTTTTTTAAAATGCATCCAAACCATAAGAGTCTAAACAATTATGATCAGCAAAGCCTGAAATTAAGAGCAGCCAACTTTTTCAGAGGAGGTGTCATTTCTCTGTGGGCAGATGACACGATTTTACCTGCAGCTGTGTTGGCTGAGGCTTTCTTACTCTCCATACACACGTTTAATAGAATCGCCTCTGTGCTCTTATAAAAAAAAAAATTAATAAATAACATTTAACTTCACTGTTATTGACATGGTTGATGTATTTTCTAAATGTTTCATTTTTAAACACAATTTATATCTAAAATACTCTTTTTTTCTTTACTTAAAACATTTTTTTAAAGAGCACATTACTGCTACCGTAGTAACTGTTAAAAAGAGGAATCTTTGTTTCATGCGACTGGTACAGTCAAAACAGTGATTTTCTCTTTGGCAAAAGTTGGTAGGTAAAATATGTATTAGGCTGTAAGTGGACATATTCAAAGTTGATGTGTTAAATTAAAAATTAGTTAACGGTAATGTTTTGAGCAAGTTTGATAAGTAACTGTATCATGACTAAAAGACTTGGTCAAGCAAACTAATTAACTTTAACCCTTGTATAATTCTGAAGCCAAGTCTGCAGTGATGTTTCTCTAGAAAGTGTTCTAAAAAAGGTAAAATAAGATTTACAAAAGGAAATAAAGGTGCAGGCAGCATATTTTAGCACCATTTCACCACTGCATAATGCAGTATAGTGACCGTGAAGGATCCTCACGCCTAAATGGTGTGAATGCTGTTATGCACACTTGCTTATCAAGTTAACATCCTAATCTAAGAAGTAGCCATGCACTCATGATCACTTTAATGTTAATTTATTACAAAATCTGTTCAAATATGTGTGTGTTTGTTTTTAATTCTGTAGTTGCATTGCAAGGTAAACATGGTGCATATGAAAAAGATCATAACATATAAGGGATGCTGTCCTACAGTAGGTGCTTGCATCAAAATATTTCACTATTATAAAAGCATAGAAAAATAATTAAAGGAAATGATGAAGCCAACATTAATCCTAATGCAGTCTTCTCACTTTATGTCACTTGTCTATCAAGCTTAAAACATACACACAGGGACTTAAATATATAATCATTTCGCTTTGACTTTGTTCATAACACTCCTTTCTGTGTGGATCAAGAATGACCACTTGGCTTAATTACTGAACATAGTCAGAAGGGAAACATCTCTCTTAACTAATGCCATTTAGTTTTGCTTGATGATATTGCTAGACAGTATTAATATTTTATTGCTCTGGTTTTTAGCTCTCTCTAGATCTCCTCTGTGTTTGCAGACAAATTATTCTTTAAATAATTTTACCCTTCAGGCTATTTCAGGCTGAAGACACCATATGAATATTAAAACAATAATACTGATTGTTCACGGTAGTGGATATAAATATTAGGTTTACCATGAGTAAATTATATAAAATCAAATTCTGAATTACAATGGCGTTTTTTTTTTTTTCATTTTCCTGCAATGACAATAAAAAGCTGACAATCTGACCTAATATTTAATCATCTTTTTTATGACTGATCAGTTGGTGTAATAACTGCTTATCATGACAGCTGCTTATTAACAATAAAACAAGCTCACAAGTCTGGTGAGCCAATAGATGGCAGTTTGACAATAATTACAGCAGAGACCACATTATACAAAAAGGAATATGTCATGTCATACGTAGCCTGTTCTCTATCTTTGTAAAACTTGGGTTTTCTATAACACAAAATTCCTTAATTTTGTATGTAAAATGTTTCTATTTTAAAGATTAGCATTATTATCCTCATGAAAAGAGAAACTAAAATAAGGGCTAGTAAATAAGGAAAAGGTAACCTAAAATCAAAATGAAGTCTATTTTAATGTTAGATATTAATTCGAATACAAAGAAATTATGTTAACTTTGTGTGTCCTCTGTGTTTTAGGAAATTACTCATAATTTCAAGATTTACAAACCTTGATGGCATTTGTGGAGATCTGGATCTCATGCAGCTTCCTCATTGTGCCATCGCGGTCAATGAAGTAGGATGATGCCAGCTGGTGGAGGGCTTCAACATTCTGGGTAGCATTGACCAGCTTCCTATCCAGCTTGTTCTTGGCCAGATACATGGTCAGAGCCTCCTCTCCTACAGGTAAAACAAATGTATTAATATGACAAGGAATAACTGTACATTTGTTATTTTCTGATAGCTTATGAAGCAAATATTGCAGGAATTTAAATATTTTCATTTGCAGTCATTTATATTTGTTTCCAATACAACCGGCAAACATTATTTTAAACATATTAAGTATGAGGTTACTGTACCAAGGCAAGCAACTTCACCTTGAGAAACTGGGTGCCCCGATTTTACAGAAACAGTCTCCATATTTCTTGCTTATTCCTCCTTTAACCATTCCCAGATAGTATGGACCTAGATTTACGCTATTGACATGGATTTATTGTCAAGACAGGTCTAGTGATGGAGAATATTTCACCTTAACAACACAGGACTTCTCTAAGGTGGTAAACCAATGTTTTGACATTTTTTTTTGTGTTTGCTTATTTTTTTCCAAATACTAACTATGGTCATTGACAGGGAGTGTAATGCTAAAACACAGCAGAAAATAGAGTCAAAAAAGGTTCTGCTGCGTTTTTTTTGGTTTAAAGTTTATTTGAAGTTTGGTGATTTGTTGAAGAGTTGGAATTTGAGAAGGTGCACTGTGTCCTGTGCTGATCAGCTATGGGTGTGTTTGCCTCAGAGTAACAAGTATCACTCATTTGCATGCTAAATTGAATTAATGAGTTCAAGTGCAATAATAATAATACTGCTGAGAGAAGTGCAAGATAATTGATCTCTTATGTTCTTTTGCTTCTCTCATCCCTCAGGTTTAGGCATCGATACAGAAGGAATACTTGTAGCATTGTCACTGCCTATTCCCTCTGGAGTTACAGAATCATACAGTTTTTGTTAATGCTTTTGACTTTGCTCATTGGGTGTGATTTGGTTTTTGCCTATTGAGAGTACCTGAGTCCATTATTTCCAGTTTAAAAGATCATTAGAATTAGACTGCATTAATCATATCACAGAATTTAAGATTCAACTTTTACTTTTGCACATGGAACACATTTTTCCAGCATAATTTGACTCAAGTGCTACTTTTTAAGTTAGTGAGAGCTTGGCGGTATTATTTGTTTTTATTTAGGGCAAAACTGTTATGAGTAAATGTAATTTTATTTGATTGTATTTTGAGTTAGCTATAACAAAGAGGGCAAGTAATATTGGGACTCATCCATTACATCCTAGACAACCTATTCTCATTATGAGTGCATATGAAATCGTACGAAAAGTTATGCACCGTAATTTCGTACGTTTTGGACGTTTTTTTTCATCGTATGCGCATGCGCATTTGACGCACCATTCACGAATATAGAATATAAATTACAATTAGCCCTAACCCTGACCCTACACCTAACCCTAAGATACAAAACAGCAAGCAACGTAGTTAGAGACATGAATAAGTGCTGATTGCACTGTTTTTCCCAATTTTCTGCTTATTTCCTGCTTTTTTCTGCTTTTTTCTGCTTAGATCTGCTTATTTTTCTGTCTGCCCGCGCATGCGCACTGATGTGGTTTTTTGAGGAAAAACGTCCAAAACGTACGAAATAGTGTGCATAACTTTTTGTACGATTTCATACGCACTGATAATGAGAATATGTTGTCCTAGAATATATAACTGTCATGCTGTCTCAAATCAGCCAAACACACTAATCTATTTAATTTTCTGATTTTGTCTTTGATTTGGAGAAATCATATAGCATTCAGCAGTCTCTGTAAATACAATAAATGTGCTCACACAGAAACAATCCATGCTTTTGATTTTTTCTTCACACTGACACAGCTAAACACCTCTTTAATTACTCAAATATCTCTTTTACTTCAACAATAGCATGTTTTAAAAAGGAACAAGGGAAGTATTTTGCTTGGAACTTATTCAATGTTATTCTATGTATGTTTCCTGAGTAATTATTCTGCCCTAAGGACTATATTGGAATTGGTCACTTAACTGTCTGTGACCGTGACTAAAGGCAAGTAACAGTCGGGGCAAATGTCTTACGCCTGGTTACAACTACTGAGAATATGAAGGCCAATTCTGATGATGCCATGCTCTCTCTCTCTCCCCTCAGGGGTTAGCAAAGTTACTTACACACACTTGACTAACACTACAGCACAGGAATAATGTTCTAACATTAAGCCCTTGATCTGCCATTTTGTATCTCGATTGCAACTTAGTATGACACTTATCACTTACAATAAAGATTTTGTGGGTCGTACTGGTGGAAGGGCCAGCTTGTTACAAGAGTGATTTAAAAAAAATCATGTGAATGCATCTTTATGTGAGAATTATCTTGTTACATTATTACTTACTGTAATGTCTTAGAGGCATTGTGCCAGAAACAAGTAGCACATGACGAGTTTATGTGTATAAAGCTGATAGGTATTTAAAAGAAATGGTCTGAAATAGCTTTTTTCACCTCAAATGAACAAGAGGCTCTGATTTGTGCGCTGCAGCATGAGCAAAATACCTTTCTTCTTTAGTTTGCACGTTAAGGTCAGTAACTGCCAGCGGAGGAAAGGTGGGATTGTATTTTCTATAATTGGTACAATTCCTGCAGGTCATGTTAATGGGGAACATTGAACTATATTGCTTTATAATGTCACATGGAGGAAACAGAGTAATCAAATTAGATCTTTATAAACAACAAAAACACATAAATATATACACAGTGAGCCCCAAATTGCCCACAAACTCTATCATATCATAGAAGAAACCAAGACTATTGTGTTTTTATCAGGTAGAAAAAGAAAAAAACAAACTATTCAAATAAATATACAAAAGTTAGGTAAAAACCTCAACGACAGTAGTTCAGAACTGTTTAGCAATGGTAAGATATGAGTAAATTCATTAGGTGTATATACCTTACTTAAACTTTTCATAAAAAAATGTGAAAATACAGCCCAGTCACAAAATGCAAAATCGTAAAATAATACTCAACTTTGATAAAAGTATGTTTCAGAAATTATTTGATAAATGAGAAATCAATAAAGTCCTAAACAATCTATTGTTATCGTTGTTTTAACAACAACCACATGCTGTAATCGGGGTGGGATGCTTGCAGATACTCCACAGAAAGCTCCTTTGAGGTGGAGGATTGGTTTCTGCATCGTCACCAGAGGTAGAGGAAGTCTTTGTGGAGCCCAGTGGACTGGAACCTTATCAGTTCCAGCCTCAAGGCGCTGACTCAGCAATGCACAATGCTGGTGCTGCCGAAGAAGTGGAAGAGAGGATGACTCTGTATGGGGGTGTACAGTAGGTCTAAGTCAACTGCTTTTAAACCCAGAATGGGGGAGCTATGATGACAAATGCATGAGCCTGTAATGTATAGGCATGTATCAGGATGGTAACGGCCGATTGAACTAATAGGAAAATTCAACTGCAATAGCCAGATTTAACTCACTTATTTAGTAGCTCTGGGGCAGTTACAGCCAAATACTGCAGAGCAAAAATATCTCACATGAACATATATTAGACATTTTTGTTTGATACTAGAACAAATAACTTTCGGAAATAAAAAAAAGAATCACTGGTGCAGTGAATATCGTCTAGAAGAAAAAAGTTGCCAGTGGTAAACAAACTGAGGCTGCAATCACATGTATGGAATAACATCTTTTTAAACAATTAACCTCGTTATATGATAAGGTTTTCTTTCTTGTTTTTTTATTTTCCCATCTCACTCTCAATACATCAACATAAGGTTTCAGTGTCATCTATGATAAGTTATGACCCCCTGGACATACAGCATATGTGCATGAGAACTAATTATCTCCATAAATTCTATACCAATAACAAACATACTGCTGTGTTGCTAAGTCATGACCTATTCTATGCTGCTTCTGATGGTGGTGAATTTAGGGGTGATCAGCTGTTTCTGCAAATGCTGGTGTCCTGAATGCAGTACTAGAATGACATCTTTCTCAATGTCTCCTGATGGCATGAACCATCAGGAGACTAGTTATTAGTTGTCATGATAAAGTAAGTACAACTTGCCTGCAACCATTTGTTAAAACTTCTGACCATCACGGATCAGTGATCCACGGTAACTTGAACTACAGTCAGGCATAACGTCATCATCTCACAATTCTCTTTGTATGACCTCATTAATTACTTCTCATTCAACTGAAATACCGTAATTGTGAAATTTTGCATTTTTGAAATTAGCAGAATATCAATATAGTTTTTGTGCATATTTGTAATGGAAAGAGGAATACTATCTTAAAGAGTGATACTGGGATCTTGATGTTACGGTTTAAATGTAATCTTTATCACTAAGTTCAATTTTTACTCTTACCATTTCAGATGGTTATTTTTTGTTTTGATGATGTTGAAATAATAAAAAGAAAAAAATTGAGCAACCTACTGTTTTTATTTCATTTTTGCTATAGTTAAACCTGTTGTGCAGATCTGTATTACGGATTTGGATGGAATTGCACTGCATTTTCTGATTGTATGTCTCCTACATTCGTTCCCTAGACAACACAGTTAGTTTTGTAACTTAACTTTTTCAGTTACACTTCATGGAGTGGATGGATGAGGGTGTTAAGAAGTACTTCCAAAATGCACAATCCTAAGTGTGGCAACAGAAAAACCAACAGGAGCAGCTGAGATGCTTTAACCAGTTAAACTTGAACAGATGAAGGCATTCAGGGAATGTCTCCAGTACTGGAATTACAACAAACACTGAACTTCTGTATCAGATGGTACAATACAGTCTAAGAAAACCAGTTTTATGTGGTGTGCAATGTACTACAATACTCCAAATAAATCAGATGTTATGTGGAACAAGGAAACATCAGCTGTATTTTTCCAGTGCTTCAAAAACAACTGAAGACTTCCCTATTGAGATTGCTATATTCAAATTCTAGACAATGGAACAACAAGTACAAGCAAGAACAACACACCAGAAGAAGTCATCAATATTGAAGACTCCTTCAGCTACAACCCATTCACTTCTCATGAAAAGTCACAATCAAATTGCATTATTAATAATCCTACAGTTTAATAGAGAGTTACTGATTTGGTGGCATGA